CAGGAAGGGGGCCAACACTTTTTCACACCACTGTATGTATATTTCTTAGGGGAACTTACCATCTTCAGAAAAGTTTCGGTGGCATTTTCTTTTCCACTTATCTGCGTATAATGCACATTCGATTAGGCTACTGTTCATAATAACAGTGCTGCTTTGTTTACAGTGGTAACCAAGGAAACGCTGTATCATGGCTGTTCCATAAGCGCCACCTGCTGTCAGAGAATACATTTACATTTTCATTCAGCCTTGCTGCTGTTTTTGTTTTGTGCAGGTGTCTTATGTAGCATAATTTCTTAAATCAAAACTCAGACCATACTGTTTTTGCTTTAAATCTTTAAATTACATAATTATCTAATTCAAATCAAAAACAACTGCTCATGCTACGTGTGTGTAGTAGTATTGGGCGTCATTTTTTATATCGTCATATCGGCAGCTTGTGAGATCGCCTCTCCAATATTATTGTGCATATTATCGTGCGTGGGTGGGGCAAGAGAGAGACTGTACTTGTCGTAGGCTATTTCATAACTATTTGTTTTTTAAACGCACGTGCAAGAGAGAGAGAGAGAGAGCCTATGGAAGCACCAATAATCGAAATAATACACTTTCAAACATACTGATAAACTAACATGTTAAATATAAAAATATTTAAAACAGCTAGTTCATATAAAATATATTCGGATACAACAGTCATACATCGCTATTAGGACCGCACGTCCTCTGACAAGTTTGCTGCATCAGCGCACGAAAGTTATCAGTCTAAAAGGTCTGCAAAATCAGTCAACGGTGAAAATCAAAAGTAGATTTATTTTAAAGACCAACAGTTTAACACTAAATATTGGACATAAACGAACACGTTAAATATAAAAGTATTTAAAACAGGTAAGTTCATATATTTGGAGTAAAGTTCAATTAAACGGGTACATCAGTCATACAGCGCTTCAGACCGCGCACCCCATGACGAGCCCTGTTAAGACTGATAACTTATCTGCATATTTTTATAATAACGATGATGAACAATAAGCATCAATATTTTTTGATAATGTGCTATAAAGAAAATGAAATGCTGATGACGATGCAGTTTTCGGCATGTTCATTCATACAGCTGTTCAAGAAAAGTGTCTCTTTTAGCACTATTGACATATATATATATATATACACACACACACACTTTTATTCAGCAAGTATTTTGAAAGTAACAATAATTAAATGCTGTTTTAACTGTTTTTTCATCAAAGAATCCTGAAAAAAATGCATCATGCTTTACGTAAGTATGTTTCGGTACAACTGTTTTCAACATTGATAATAAGAAATGTTTCTTGAGCAGCAAATCTGAAGACTGGAGTATTTGCTGCTAAAAATTCAGCTTTGCATCACAGGAATAAATTATATTTTAAAATATATTCAAATAGAAAACAATATTACTCTTTTTACTGCATTTTTTATCAAATAATTGCAGCCTTGGTGAGCAGAAGAGACGACTTTCAAAAACATTTAAAAAATTGTACAGACATTCCTTACAGTTTTACCTAATTAGAAAGATCCTTAAAACCAGGCAGGGGAGAAACAGGCATTAATATATGCAAACATAATGATCAGCTTAGCAGCACGTCCCCAGTTCCCATGGATCAGCCGTCTGTCTGTGTGAAAATTGTCTCTTTTAGCACTATTGACATAATTTGTAAAATATAGGTTTATCACCTTGCAGTTCAATTTTGATGTGGGCTTAGTTTTATAGTCTGTTTTTAAAACATTTCCAACGAGGACGAGAAGCCTAATCCTAATTTGTGCGTGTGAAGTGCGGTGCTGAGATGAAATAGCAGGGCAATTTGGTAATAATAGCCGAATAATAATAGGCCGCCTAATAATACTCATAATAATAATAATAATTTAATACATTAATAGGAGAATGTTGTAATATTGTCTTAACTATCGACATAGACAAAAGCTATCATCGATACATGATACTATCGTCTATCGGCACAACCCTAGTGTGTAGCACTACTGTCTGTTTAAAATAAATGGAAAAAAATAGCATTGGGGCTTTGTTGCTTTTTCCTGTTGTACCAAACTCATATCGAACCGTGACCTTAAAACCGAGGTACGTTTAAAACTGTGACTTCTGTGTACCGTTGCATTTTACCTAATTAGAAAGATCCTTAAAACCAGGCAGGGGAGAAACAGGCATTAATATATGCAAACATAATGATCAGCTTAGCAGCACGTCCCCAGTTCCCATGGATCAGCCGTCTGTCTGTGTGAAAATTGAGGTTTTGTCTGCTAAAATATTAGCCTCCGGTTTAGACTGATAAATTGCTACACTCAGTAAAGTTGGGTCAATCAATAAACCAAGAGCTGCTAGCACAAAGCCAGAGAAAAAGCTCTTTACGAAGACGGCTTCAGTATTGTAAGTTACATTACAGCATAATTGGGTTTTAGACTTGTAATTACAGCGCACACGATTCTCATCAACATTCCTGTCGTTTTGTCTGATTTCATACTATCTTCTCAATCTACCTGAACGCTTCAGGCTTCAGGTAGATTGAGTCATCAGCTGGGTTTTCAAGACACATAGGCTGAATTGCAAACTGGTGTCAGGAAACCCAGTGCTTAGCTACTCCAGTCTCTCTTAACCAGACGTTTGACTGTCAGCATGAAGGTTGGTCTTATTTACAGCTTATTATGGCCAAGAACCAACAGATATGACATGTAAAGTAGTTTGTTTGTACATGCCATTGTAGATCCCATATTATTTGTTATGTTTTACAATAATAGCTGTGCAAACTGCAGTTAGCATGGTCAGTTTTCAGAAGGATCGGGTCACTCTGTACTGTGTTATGTTCACAGTGACAAATGTCAAGTGGCCAGTAATCAAGTAGAGTTGCATGAGCTCTGTGTTGCGTGATGACCGGCGTTGCGCTCACTTGGATTGAGCAGGACTGCGGCACATTGATATTCAGGCCACGACTCCCTCTGGTTTTAATGAGAGTGCTTAAGGGCAAGGCAGAGCTAGCATGCCAGCTGCCGGTATTAGATCGCTCCAGCCTAATGAGATAAATACAGTCATTAGTGCGTGTGTGGGGCTGGGAAATAGAGTACTCTTGAGGCATAACGCACAGGAGACATGGCGAGAGGATGCTGGATCCAACCGGACCCTTGAATCGCTCGTGGGCCAGTGTTTGGATCATGTAGTCACGGCTTATCTTGAGCAAACATGCATATTTGTTATGTCGGTAAACTGAAGCCTCGGGTGATATCTGTGTCAAATTAAAAAGAAATTTAGGAATCTTGGGAGCCGAGGTTTGCGATTATTTCTGACTAGCGTGTGCGTTTGTGGAAATGTAATTGAATACTCATTTGTTATTCAAATGTGTGTTTATCAGGGTGAATCATGAAAACTGTCAAGAAATGTTCAGGTCGTTTTTCACATGAACAAAAAAAAAAAAGATGATATATTTTCATAATGAAAATAAGCCTATTTTAGGACCATTAAGATTTTTTTTGCATTTTGTGACATGAAAATTGAGCACATTTTCCTCCACCCCAAATTTCTGCAGTTACCTTTGATAATGCAATAAAATTAAATTCTTAGTGCTGTAATGCAAAATAATAATATTTACATATTAATTATTTTTATAATATGTGACCCTGGACCACGTCTTAAGTTGCTGGGGTGTGTTTGTAGCAATAGCCAAAAAAACATTGTATGGGTCAAAATTATTGATTTTTCTTTTATGCCAAAAATCATTAATATATTAAGTAAAGATCATGTTTCATGAAGATATTTTATAAATTTACTACCGTAAATATATCAAAACTTAATTTTTGACTAGTAATATGCATTGCTAAGAACTTAATTTGGACAACTTTAAAGGCGATTTTCTCAGTATTTAGATTTTGTTTGCACCCTCAGATTCCAGATTTTCAAATAGTTGTATCTCCAAACTATGACACCAAATAGTGTCCTATCCTAACAACCCTTATGATTGGCTTTGTGGTCCAGGGTCACATATTTGCACATTTATATTTCACAATATTAAACATTTACATAATATAAATGCTTTAATAGTTATTTTATAATTGTATTATAATACTATTTTAAAAATATATTAATATTAAATAATATTGAATTTGTATACTATTGGTAAAGTAGAATTGTAAGTTTGCATCATTGTATTATTCGTTGAACTGAATTAAATTAATACAATAAAATATAGAATATTCTAAATATTATAATTATTTGTTTTATATATCCGTTTATGGACCCCTGCAGGAAGTCCTGGAAACTTGGAAACCCTGATTATTTTATTTTATTTTATTTTAATTTTGAGGGGGAAATGTGCTTAAATATCATGAAAAGAATATCACAATGCAAAAAATAAATAAATAAAAAAGTAATGTTCCTAAAACAATATATTATTTTTTTTTAATAGTTTTTTACTTTTTGGTTGGATTTTATTGTAGAAGAAGAGTAATACTACTAAGCAACTATTCATGAGTTTCACATTGATCGTCCAGTTAGTGATCCAGAAGCTGTTTCTTTTTACAGCTGCCACTGATGTTTCATTACGGCCTCACTGGCCTGAGATCGTGTGATCATCTCACCCACTCTCTATAATTATTAGCTTTATTCTTGATATAACCTTTTCCTCGTCTGTCTTTATCTGCCTGTCAGCACAGAGACCCCGCCTGACCTCAGATCAGAGCAGAAGAATATGTGAGTTTCTGAAGGTTTGGCGTGGAGATGGGCTAGAAAAATCACTGCAGGGCATTGGACACTGATACTGCTTGGTTTTGCAGGCGTGTGTGTGTGTGTGTTTGCAGGCTGGTACATGGGGAACCAATCATTAGATCATCTAGAGCAAATTCTGCTTTGGTACTTGGAAGCACAGGGAATCTGTTGAGTCATTCATTACTGAAAACATAACACATCCTCCCCTTTTCTCTCTTTGTCTGTGCTCTTTCTTTCTTTCCATCCTCGCTTTCTTCAAACCCTCATCCAGGTTTGGGAGAAAAAACAAATCCAAGGCTAAAGAACTGGGAGCTTTGAGCGAAGAGGAGGTGGACAAGAGTGAACCTGAGATGTTTCTGTCAAAGTATGTTCACCACTTACATAACACGTATTATTTCATCCACAAAGTTCAATTATAAAATAGAAGAATATGCAAATTTATCAGTCTGAAGCTGTAGAAATGATTAAACCAGTTCTGAACTCATGATAATTGCCCTATTGGTTTAATTGGTTGTTCTTTTCATCTTAATTAAAGACTCAAGACTAATGATCTAATAAAGCAAAACATATTAAAACTCAATCATATTTACGTGACTTGTTTTTTAACCCTAAATATTAAATATTTACGTGATTTTTAACCCTTCCGCAAAAAGAAGTCATAATCATGACATACTGAGTCATAATTATGAGAAGTCATTATGAGATAAAACATTAAAATTCCGACATACTATTAGTAAATATGTAGAAATATAGAAATAGCGGAAATGTTTTGACACAATTCTAACATTTTGTTATAATTATGGCTATGTCAATTTTAATGTTTAATCTCATAATTATGACTTTTCATTTCATAGTTATTACTCAGTGGCCTGGTTTCACAGTCAGGGCTTAGACTAAGCCAGGTTTAGGCCATAGTTCAATTAGGACATTTAAGTATCTTTTATAAATGTTTCTTTAAAAAAACATTACTGGTGTGCATCTTGAGACAAAACGATGGCACTGATATATTTTAAGATATGTCAGTGCAATTTTTTTCAGTTAAAACAGCTCAGTTTGGGACTAGGCTTAAGCCTTATCTGTGAAACCGGGGGAGTATGTCATAATTTTGACTTTTTATCTCAAAATCATTACATGGTATTTCATTGGATCATGATTAGAGCCCGACCGATATATCGTTTTGCCGATATTATCGGCCGATATGAGCCTGTCGCCGATATATCGGTATCGGCGAATATGCCGCCGATATGAATTCTTTTTTTTGCAGAGCGCTTTAAAGCTTAAGTCTATGGAAAACCATTGAAACTTTGAACGGCCATATCTACATAACGGCGTGGTGAATCCGCACCAAATTCGGGGGATCCCTTCAGCTCGAGGAACCCTCTCGAACGCGAATCGAGTGTACGACTCGAGGCCCTCTTTCGAATGAGACCACCCCCGCGTGGATAGCCCCCGGGGTTCGGGAGTTACGGGTGGTTAAATTCGCGGTCCGGCGCCGA